GGCTCTGTCCCCAGCTGTCTGCAAACAGGCAGCCTCAGTGTAACATCCTGTAACATCCTGATCCTCTCCAGTGCTGAGGGTTGATGTGGGGAGCCCTTTGAGAGCTGTTGCTCTCCAAGTTTTTCATATCCAACCATCATCCTCTCTATTTGGAGGCAGGTGTCAATAAAATGCCTGAGTTTAGAAGGGCTCTAGAGAATCAGCTGACCTACGTATTAAGGGGAGATTTGTGAGTGTCCATCAGCCAGCTCTTTTTTCTGGGGAATGAATATCACACAGTCATGCCAATGAGCAATTCCCCTTCCCCTCTTCTTTCTGAATCAGACAAATGAATAGCTTGAAACACAGCAGTCCCTTTTCTGTTCTCTCTGCTCAAGGAATTCACCTTGTTTTTCCTCCATCACATGCTGCAACTCCTTCAACTAACCAGTAAATTTAGTAGACATACTGCCCACTTTTACCCTGGGGTGAGAGGTTTCATGCCTGTGGAGAGTGAGCTGTCATGCACAGCCCCTCAGCGAGTCTTTGCTGAATGCAGCCACAGCACATACCTAAGCACCAGCAGGGCTGTACAGGTCGTATTCTGACTGCTTTATCAGTGTGATCAGCGACAGGGGTGCAGGGGGGTGTGCATTAGCTTACAGTTAATACTATAAAATCCCAAAAGATCCAAAAAGATAAGGCTAATGGCATTGATCAAACAGAATTTAACATGTGACTGTGCATGAATTCTATGTGGTTTGTATCTAAGAGGCTTTTGTGAGTCCAACAGCCCCTGTGTGAAAGTGTCTCCAATTAGTGTTAATGCATGGTCAGTTGTGTCCAGGATGTGGTGTTTAAACTAATTTGAAGCAAATAATATTCTATTTAGAGGTATTTCTTCAATTAAATATTGTCTTTTTTTCAAAATATCATGGTTGTGGCATATATCTTTCTTCTTTCTATAGAGAGACAATATAGAAAACAACTGAAGTAAATAAATATGAATCTGAAATTACAGATGGAAAACCGTAATGAAAATGCATGTCTAGCAAGAGCTGAATTAAATTAAAAATATCTTCCAGAGAATTATAATAAATATTTTTTCACTCATTATTTTTCCAGAAAATTAGCTTTATACACAGCAGTTAAAAAGGACTTTAATAAATCTGGGACAGATTGTATTTTTCATTTGAGGATAAAAGGTGTAAACTAAAAATACTGATTTTTAAAGCAGGAATCAAAATAAAATATTCAGACCCAAGACACAAAATGTTTTGCTTAGTTTAGATTTTTCCTATGAATATATTTAGTCTACTTATTTTCTAATTTTCTTCTGTGAGATGAAAGTCAAATGAAAATGTTTTCAGAGCAAGGGCTCAATATTTTATACTTGAAAAAAATATTAAATTGTCCACAGTATTTTTCTAAAATAGTACTGTTCATATATTGTTGCATATTTTTACTTCACAAAATTCATGTACAAGTTAATTTAGTTACAAAAGAAAAAACTTTTGATTGAAAAAATTCCCAACCCACCTGAACCCCTGTGAGCTCTGGAATGAGACATTACTTTGGCAAGTGTCTTAGCCACCACTAAGTTGAGTTGATTGGCAGTTGGGATTGGTTTGTGGGTCTATTTTTTGTTTGTTTCTTGTGTGTCTTGTTTTTGTTTGTTTGTTTGTTTTGGTTTTGGGTTTTGGTTTGGTTGGTTGTTGTTGCTGGTTTGTTTTTGTTTGTTTGTTTGTTTTTTTAACTTCTGGAACCACATCCTGTAAATTACCAGGATATCTTTAACAAAACACTTTTTCATAGTAAAAATATTTAAGTATTGGAATTTCCTCAGCTTCGGTGTAAGATTTCTTGCTAATATAAGAAAGAAAATAATTTGGAGAGCCAGAATTGCTGATGTATTGAATTCCTGATATGTTGGATTCTCAAACTCATCAGGAATATGACAGGGTTTTCTCACTCAGAGAAGATAGAGATTTCAACATGAGCCCCTACATTCTAGATGAACATATTGGCCACTTGGTTATTTGGATAGTTCTCAGTTATGTTGTTAAATTTTAAAAATTTGAAAGCTCAAGGTTGTGGGTTGTTTTCTTTTTCCCCAATGTAGAATGAAGGCCAAATGCTTGAAATCATTTGCAAAACAGAATTCTTGTTTTACAGCCAATCTCACAGCTGACTTCACTGGAGCTATTTACGTGAAGAGGGGAAGCAGATTTTGACCACAGTAGCTGTGTCTAGACTAGTAGATTTAAAAGAGCCAGGGAAATGCTTCCAGGCACGGGAATTTGATTGTCTACACTGTTAAATTGTTAGAAGAGTCCCTGACCCACTCTTGGCTTTTCCCAGCTACAGTGGTTCCAAACAATTCACAAGGACCTTTCCCCATAGGTAGCGTGAACATAAACACCCCTTGGACAGTGAGACAGTTTCGTAGCATGGATATGGGCCAGTCTCCACCCTATGCCAAAGAACAGTCACAAGAAAGTTCAATTTACTGATGTAGAAATAAGTGGTATGGATCAAAAAAAGAAAGTCCAAGTTTTGACTTTCTCTTCATGAAAGCAAAGAAATGTGGAAATGTGGAAAACAACAACTATCTAGTCTAAATAACCAGAATTTTTAAAATGTAATATCCCCTTCTCTCATCTTCTTAATGCTAGGAACACCTGATATTCCTTCTTCCCTTGTCCATGCTAGTTTATTTTTATCTCATTTCTTCATTTTCCTGCTTTGTAGTTACTTACCAATTAACTGACAAAGAAAAAATGCATATGTTTAATTTATTAATAACTTTCTCAAAAAAAGTGCATTAATTCTGAGCAGGCCCTTTTCCAACCTAAACATCCTATTGAATTTTATGTGCCAAAGGGCAAAAAAGAGGAGTCTTCAAGTCCTTCTCCTCCAAATAACCCATGGCCAGGAGAAAAGATGCTTTTGAATTACACGGATCAGCTCAGTCGGGCAACTAAAAGCTAAATTGTGTCCATGTCTGCAGAGAAACACAAGGGCAGAAGGGCACCTTCAGGCATTCAGTCTCTGTGCGGGGCCGAGCACAATTGCAGAGATTGTACTCATGGAATGACAGGACTCCACAGGCTAAAGCTCCTAGAAATTATGTGTGAGAGGGGGTATGGCCTCTCGTCTGCTTTACTGCACCATGGATCTGGCTGGAATTAAAAAGCAGAGTATTCTGGCACCTAAGTAATTCTTTTGCTTGTACTGATTACGTTCACCTTTAGGACTCCCAGGACCGCACTGACTGCAGCACTGTGGAAAGTGTCTGAACTCCCCACTGCCACTGCTGCTGTTCTTTTCAAGGACCCTTCTGAAAAGGGCAGTGTGTGCTATCCTCTTAGAAACAGCTTCATTGAGGTGGGAAGGTCTGCTAAACTCAGTTTGAAGTGGCTACAGAAACAAGATCAAAGATTTGTTTTCCCTTTATCTTTCTTCTAACTCGAATGATGCATCACCCCAAGTAAATCCCCAGTTCTAGTTTCCTATCTATGCACTGCAATGTATCCCAAAGAACTGCTTTCCGCCAGAGTTTGGGGATGAAAAACAGTAGACTGGTTAATATCTATCTTTGTTGAGAGTACAGTACAGCCTGAGTGTTAAGGCTGTCTTAAATAAAGGAAGGTCACATGAATTAGTTGTTTTGAGGATTTCTCTATCATTTCAGAGGGAATTTATTTGAAATCATGTATATTAATAAAGCAAAGCCCATGGTGTTTCCAAGTATGCTTGGTGACATGTGCAGAACTGCCAAATGGTCCATTATTTCTAAAAATTATGTGTCCCAAGGCAGTAGCAAACTTGTTTTCCAGACTGTAGGCATCAGTTTATGTGCTACATTTAGCATGTCCCTTTTTCTTGTGTTTTCCAAGGTAAGTTTGGTTTAAAAAAATCCTATTCTTTGAATAACATTTGTGGTTTTTTCAGAATACATCCTAAAATGTCTGCTTATTCTGTTTTGTCCACTAAACTTTAGCACAATTCAAGATAGAGAATAAAAAAAGCGAAGTATAAAAATGAAAGATCTGTAATGTAATGGCTGTGTTACAGCAGCACACAAGGTCTGTATTGTAGTCAAAACTAAGATATTGCTGCACTTTTATGTGTCCCATATATTTATCATGTTAATTATCTGTTCATTAATACTGGTGAGAGCAATTATTTTCTTTAGGGGTACAGCATTCTGTATAAATCATGGTGCCTGAGGACTTTTAGAGGTTTTACTTTTAGTTTTAGCATCTACTGGATTATTTTGTATTGTAGTGACAATGAGAAATTCAGAGACAATATTTCAGATCATCTACTTAGAGAAAAACAGAATTTTTTTGCACAAGAGGAAGCTTTTAAGGGAGTACATAGCATTTAATTCAGTCAAAGCTTCCAGTAACGGTATCCTGCTAAAGATAAAAATACAGTTTACCAGTGACAAATGTTTATCAGGGTTTTAGAGTGTATAAAAAGCAGGAGAAAAAACCAAGCACAATAATACAACAGGGCAAATTCACTCTTCTTTCCAGATCCATGTGCTACTTGGTAGCACGTCAGTCATGTTAGGTATTAATGAAGAAACTAAAATATATTCCTTTTTTAACTTTAACAGGCCCGCAGTTTGATGCAACAGACCTCTACCAGGTCAGCCCAATTGTAATGTATTTTCCCCCAAAGACTTAGTGCCACTGAGAATTTTGGATTCATGAAGAATCATAGAACAGATCTCAGCTGATGCTTCAGTCTAAAAACAAGAATTCAGGAGAATGTATTTGATCAAAAAATTGAGCAAATAGCTACATTGTCTTCATCACAGTGTGATCTTTCCAGCTTTTAAATAGGTCACCATACAGTTTTATAGAGCACTGCCTGACTTGGCAGAGATATCTCTGGCTTAATATCTGACTTCAGGGAAGTCTCTCTGTTCATATCTCAGCTTCTCTCATGTTCTGTCATGTGCATGAACACACAGACATTACCTCTGACTCAGTTTCTCCACTTTACAGACAGATAATGCTAATGACCTATGAAAAGTTCTTTGGAAACTGCTGATGTGAAAGATTATGTGTAAGTAAAGTGCTACTCATGTACAACTACCCCTCCTTCCCCCTTTCTGGAGATTAGAGTGCCTCAAAAAAATTTAGAAAAATAAAACTTTTATATTCATAAAACAGTAAGTCTGTAGTAGAAGGATGAATGCTTGGAGTTGATCAGTTCTGCCCTCACCAGCAGAGCTGATAATAATCAGTCACTTATGTGCTATTTCACAGCTGATACCTCCTCCAAAAAAAATTAATTGCAAAAGTTTCACAGATGTCTGCAGCAGTTGACCAGAGCTCTTGGGTTATTGCTTGTCAGACTATTAATGGGTTTGGCTAACCATGACAGTCATTACTTTCCCCCTCCTGTGAGCTACTTTCTGTGTAATTTATGCATAGGTTTTGCCAAGATTTGACAACTTTCAGGATATTAACATAAAATTAGACTGCAGAGCTGAACAATGGGTGGCATTAAAATTAGCAGCAGTGGAAACCAATCAAAGAGAATTGGTTTCTCTCCTGCTTTGCTTTTAAGTTAATAATTTTTTTATTTATTTTATCTTATTTCATTATCATTTTAGAAATAAGGGTAAAAGAATAAATGCTAAAAACAGTTTTGTTTTTTGCTAGGTACCTCAGGAACCTTCAGAAAGTTGGAGAAATTTCAATTAGACAAAATGCCTGGCAGCATCTTAAACAACAGCTATCCTCAAATCAATCACAGAGGAAGAAAAGTTAGAAGTGGGGTTTTTTTGAAAAAGGGACTTTAAACAGAGCAGAGTCTGCTCCACACAGATTGTTTAGTGAATGCCATTACAGAATGCGATGTGTGTGTTAATAAGTAAGGACATCTGGTAACCAGCTTTTTTCTGATTCATTAACTGACTCTGCTTCTGTGGCCACAGGGCTTGATAGGGAAGGCTGCAAGACTTTTGCTCACAGTAAATGGGACTTCAATGTATGCTTTGTTTCTTTGACACAACCATATCCTTTAAATTTTCTCTTATGCTTCCATTATTAATATTTCATTTTAAAATCTTGGAAGAAACACTTAAAAGCTTGGAAGAACACATCCTCCTATTCAATTGTACATAGCAAACAGTCTTACTTAAGATTCCTCCACAGATCTACAATAATTCACCCCATCAACACAAATCAGTAAGTGATGTTCTCTACTTCTCTACTTGTTAGCATTTACCATGGTTATGTTTAAATACTAAGTTATTCTCCTGTTTCTCAATGTTTATACTCTTTCAAATATGATTCATTACAATGAATGGAATATTTCTGGAAAAGAATTTTGAAATTATTCCTTTTTTGGAAAACCTCAATATCTGCCAAACCAGCAAGGTTGTTGGGGTTTTTAAACCCTCCATGAGATTAATGAGCTTGGACAGAGAAAGTAAAACCATCACACTGCTCATATCAAGTGCTGTTTTTCTTCATATAATAAAAGTGAAATAGCTCCAAATGCTCTAGAGAGAATGATTGAGCAAAAGAAATCTAACTTGATAGTACATGTTGAGGGATGAAATGGACAATGAAGTTTCCATATGTTGTTTTTACGCAGTAATTAGAAACTGTCACACACCGTTTCATTTTTTAGTTTCCTTGGGCTTATTTGCATGTATGAGGCTTTCCTTAGAGCAGAATTGCAAGCATCAAACTGGCACCCAGTTGAAATCTGAGGCAGTGACACGTGGGTTTCTTCCACCTCATGGACAAGAAGCCAGCGGCAGGTACTGTGATGGCCCAGAGCACAGCTCAGCAGCAGCAGCTGCAGCCTCACTCACCTCTTTGCCTCTGCCAAATTTTCTTTTCCAGGTTGAAGCAGGGGCCGTTCTCATAATGTGTATTCCACAGAGTTCCCACATAGTATTCTGTGCATTCTTGGGTATGTGGACTAGCCTTTGTTTCCAAGAGAAACACAGAATTGAACATATTAATATGCATGCACGTTCAGCAGGAGTTTGGGTCCTCATTCCCTAAGGTTCCTTTGAAAATCCTTACACAGTTTTTCAGGGGCAAGACAGGCAAAGAGTGCTCTGGGTCTCAGTTTTCCTCATTAATACAGAGAATTGCCTATATGATTTTGAAAAGTTTTTCCAGCTCTTTGGTAGTGATTCCTTTCTATATTTTGATAAACAACTTGTTCACTTAAAACATCTGAATCTGGCCTTCAGAATTGCACCAGAGCAGAAAGACCAATAAAACTATTTGCATTTTATCTTTGTTATCCTGATGGCAATGATAACTGAGGATTTGATGACATTGAACTTTTTTCTAGAATAACGTATGTATTCTTTAAAGCTAAGAAACTAAGTCTGTTGTATGTCTTGTGTAAGTGGGCTAATGTTTTCTGTCTCTGTTTTCCAAGTCTTTGTAAAATACCACAAAGCCGGATGCATATCTCTCTTGTCCATGCAAGACAGATTAGCTCTCTGGATTGCTTAAAAGATCTATAACCCCAACAAGCAGGACTGCCGAAAACATCAAAGAACATTGATTACATTCATAGTTACATATGAGAAGCAGAATTCCAAGATCTACCATAAAACTACTGTTTCTTAGACATTGAACCAGATCCCTGATGTTATCGATATTATTTTTTTCATTCCCAACTAAGGCAAAATTGGGTTTGTTTTGAAAAATGTCTGAATAAACTTTTCCAGCAATCAGCAATTATTTGTACTGTAATAGCACTGAATAGCACTGCTCTCCTTTGTCAGCTACTCTGCAAGTTCCAGAGATCCTCATCTCCACACTCGATCCATAGATGGCTCTAATGTAAATTCATCCTTGCAAATTTGCCTTTGAGGAGAATGGGTCATGCTTACTAATAGTCATTTAAAGGTACATAACAATGATATTTGCTGAGGATTTTTATTTATACTATACTCAAATTACAACTAAAACTTTTTTCTAAACGTGGAGGCAAATGCTCAGAGAGCTTTGAAGATAGGCTGCTGATTTATACCAGAAAAAAAAAGTTGATATTCTACTATATAGAAATTTTAAAAGGCAGTTACAGTATCTTGCTTTATTTTTGCAATCAGAAAGATAATGAAAAAATTAAGAAAGGAAAAAAATCACTTAAACAGAAAATGATGTAAAGCTAGTTTGAGAGAGAGCAGAGATATTGGTCACCACAGTGGAAGGCATGTCATTGGTTATAGCACAGCTGCTGGAGGTGACTGTGTTGGTATCTGTAGCATGTTGATGTGTGAAGTGCAAAAATGAATCTTATTCCTCAGGAGAGTCCTGCATATGTCACGTATATTGTCTCATTAAGCCAATCCATTTATCAACCCACTGAATGCCAATTAAATTGCACAGGATGGTGCAGGTATATGGTGGGCTGATGGTGCCAAACTTTATTACAGCTGAGCTTTTCTGGCTCAGTACATTCCTGCATAGCAAAATGGCAGACATATCAAAGCCAAATTAAATGTTCTTGAAATAATGCCTTTAAAGAGGAAGAAATGCCCCAGTCTGGCACAAAAGAGTATGAAATGTAATGTCACTTCTTAGTGTACTTTTAGTTCCAATGAAGATGTCACGGCTCAGATCCAGCCAGTGCCAAATGTCTTCACAGCGTGCAAATTAGATCACTGTAATTTCATCAGGATGATGATCAGACTCTGTTGCAGTTCTATGGCTGCATACACAACTTCTGCTGACTGCTGCAGTCAGACTGGCACAGCTGAGCTAATGCTGCCATCCTCAGAAAGAGACAGAAGTTGATTTTATAGCATTCTACTGATGCCAGAGTCCAAAGAATATTCCTAAATCCTGGAAATATGTTGAATTAATATTTGCTCTGAAGTTTCAACTCAAAAACTCCCTTTTTTATCTCCAAAACCAGATCCTTTTATCTCCAATTGCAGTAACAAGAGTACTTTCATTCAACGTATTCTTGTTATATGTTATCAAATGATCAGGTTTTGAATGAAAGTATTTCAACCATGAGCAACAGTAACCTAGTCAAAAAATCCATTCTGCCCCTTTGCTTCAAGGCAGTGTCTAGAGAAGATCTACTGTCTTAGCTACTTAGGTCTGAAGCCTACCATGTAAATGTAAACTTACTCTCTTTGGCAGTGTTCACTAAGGGTCCTAATAAATGTACTCTGCTGGATTTAGTATCAGTCACTTAAACACTGTTTTTCCGTCTGTCCACCTGATTCCTTTTCTGGAGGTTATGGCCTGCATAGCAGGGGTGGGAGATATGAGCATTTCCCAGCTCCTTCAGTTCACAGTTCACAATTCATAATTCACCATTTTAGCTTGACTCGTTAGTGCCTAACCCAGCGTATCTGATCTGCTGAGTCTTTGGATATCAAACCCTCCCCTAGAATGGCTGGTGCATAAGCACACATTTTGTTCTGCTAAAGTGGTGTGGGGCCGGTCACCCTCAGTGCTGGGAAAAGAACAGACAGATGGGAAAAGTAATGGCTTAAAAAGACTCAGCCTGCCTGCTGCCTTTTTGCATGCCAGGTCTCCAGGTATGCAACATGAGGCTGGCTCTTCTCATAAATACCTTTGTTGTACAGCAAGATTTAATCTACTCAGTCAATGATTTGCTGATAAAAGCTTTCAGAAGCAGGAACGTGGTATTTAGTGCTAGATAGCAGTCCCAGTGCCAAGACATACCTTACATATATTGAAGGTTTGGGTTTGCTCTAGCTTTTTGCATGGAGAATTTCATATGTTAAATTGTTAGATTTGGTGATTTTTTTCTTTTCCCTAAAGCATTTGGTAAAGAGCAATTACTTATACATAAAACAGCTAAAATCCCCAAACACCATGGCACACAGCCATCTGAGGCAAGTTGCCAAGTCTGTAGCTTCAATTAACCTTCATATATCCCCCCAAACTTGGAACACTATCAGAAGCCCATTATGTTCAAGCCTTACTCATGTGGTGAGCACTTAGACAGTGAAGTTGAAATCAATAGCAGTGATGGATACATGATTGCTCATGTATTCAGGTTTGCCCAAGCAGACTTGTCTTTGTAGCACTCACCCAGACTGAAGCAGGGAGATGCAGGAACTTGGAAACACACAGCTGTTTCAGGATCTTGCCCCAGAGATCAAGCCCATTCTCCTCATACAGCATCTGTCCATCACTGACCCATTTGGGCTCAGATAGTAGCTACTGAAGGTGGGCTGAAGTTAAAGGGAAGGGAGCACAGCAAGATTTGGATATCCTATTAAATCTGTGAAGTAGCTACTGATTCCAGTAATAGCTCTATGTTCATCAGACATGCTGTGCAAATGGGTTCCTCTCTCTGGAGATTGAAACAGAGACTCTATGCATCCCAGATGTTCCTAAGCAGTTTACTTACCCTCCCCTGTGTGCACTTAATTCTCAAGATGGATGGAGATGGAACAGAAATGGGAAATGAAATAAAAAGTCAGTTTTGGCTCTAAAATGAAAATGTTACTTATGCTCACATGGAAAATGTAAAGCTCCAATAAAAGCAGATAAACACAGTTTTTATGTGGGGGCAGACAAAGGGCTAGATGCCCAGCTGGTATAAACTGGCATAGCTTCACACTGAAGTTGATTAGGCACAGTGCAGCCTGTGCCAGCTGAAGATCTGGCTTACAGTTACTGCTCAGTAGCCCTATTGTGTGGGTGAAATCCTATCTGTCCAGGACTGGATATGGCATCCGGTGATCAATATCTCACACGCAAAGGCTA